GGCGGTACGGTGTACCGGACGTGCTGAGCATTTATGCTGCTGTTACTTCAGAATTCGTTGTTGTGTGGAAGAAAACCAGTTTTCCTTAAGTATTATCGCATACAATGCTGTACGTGCTCGCTTTAATTGGAAGATGGCGCTGTTGACGCTGGCACTGACGGCGGCGACGGCGATGACGTTGCGGACCATACAATGATGACGACCAACCRCAAATGCTGATTATCGTCGAGATGACGAAGTCAATTGACAGTGGTGTAAATTGGGCAACACAATGCGCAGGCTAAGATCACGCAAAGAATATTTCTGCAATCATATTGCATCAAATCTTGGCAAAGATGTGAGAAACACAGAACGGAATCTAGGGAAAAGTTCTTCGAATCCAGCCCGATGATAATTATATAGTGGACAACGGAAGCAAGGGCGCACATCCATCTAGTGGAAACACCAAGTGCAAGTGTATGCTTAAGTGCAGTTCTCGCAAGGAATAAGGCAAATGGAGAAGTTTTGTGTTCTTACCTCAGAGCGATCTTCGGTGTAGTTCCAAACCAGAAGAAGAACAAGATTGGTATTGTGCATCTATTGCATATCTCTTGTATTGCGTAACATGACCTCAGTCGACAGAGCCCGGAAACGTGGTAGACGATTTTTTTTCTGGTGAAACTAACGTTAAATAACACTGGGGCTTCTGATGAGGACAAATCTGTGGARAAACACCTGACTTTCAACAATGCCACTCTGCTAATTGCCTGTTTTGATTAATCATTCCAGCACACTGTAAAGAGCGTTCCCCACAACTATGGCAAAAAGCAGAAGCAAGCTGATTCTCTTTGTTTTGTAATTGTAGTTGTAATTGTATACATTTTTTTTTGTTGCTATTTTTGTTGTGTCTTTGTTCCCTTGTAGATGCATTTGTTATTGTTATTCATATGAGTGTTTTTGTTTTTATTGCAATTGAGTGTAAGTGGAAACAATTGTTACAAGAATCCATGAGCGCAGAGAGTTACCGAAAAGGATTGCACATTACAAACAAATAACAAATAATGTACGGTAACCCAAAACAAAAGGGAGTGCTGGGAACAACTGAAGAGCAATTCCGGGCACAACAAGCACTCACATGTATAATGGATAAATGGCTGAGCAACGCTGCAACACATGTGGTAGCGGTGGGCGGCGGCAAASGGGGGTTGGGAACCAATGAATTAAATTGAAAGCAAAAACCAATGTAAAAACGCAATCACAACCAACATCATATAATTGAGCAATGGCGCAAATGGTTTTAAAAATTTAGTAGGGACATGGTAGTCATATGAACATACAACAACAACAGCAAACTGAGTAAATGAGGATTCCGTTGTGTGCTATCCAAAAATAAAAACGCAAAGCATGAACGCAGGCGAAAACAGCGTCAGGCCAATGCTGAGTGGAAAAGTGGTCAAGAACAAATGTAAATAAAGCGCCAAAAACTCGGGCGGTTAAAAGCAAATACCTGTAAGGGTGTGTTTGTGCGTTGATGTGTAACGGCACGGCTTGTTTGCTAAATAAAAAGCGTCCCAATACATATGCACAAATATGTGTGGAAGACAAAAGGCAACAAGAAATAAATTAACTTGGGCTGCGTAGAAGCTGTAATGCCCTACACAAATACAAAAGAACCCATAGAAGAACTTTATTTTRATTGGCGAGCTTGTATGACAGCTACAGCGATCGAATCTGAAAAATTTGCTCAAGGAATTTACTGTTAATTGAATCAATAATCCTTGTAAAATTTCGTGAAGATATCTCGTGAAATAATAAACTTTCTATGCAAGAATCCGATTTTGGTTAGTTAGTTTATATGGCAACTGTATGTTATAATGGTCTGATCTAAATAATATTTTGGGAGATTATAGCACGATCTGGGATAATAATCAGTGCTAAATTTCTTGAAGATGTATGGCAGCTATACGCTATAGTAAGTTTTCATACAAGAATTTGATTTTGATCATTCAGTTTGTATGGTATCTATATGCTACAGTGATCCGATATTGACGGTTCCAACAGTTTCTTGAGAATGAAAAAATGTGTGCCAAATTACAGATCAATATCTCAAATAATTATTCTTATATACAGACAGACGGAAATGATAACATCAACTCAGTTCAACACGCTAATCATTTCTTTATGTATGGTATTCATAGTGTCTCCGACATTATTAAGGGTATAAAAAGTTAAAAGTTTCCATAGTATATAAATTTATATATCCATTGCATATGCACAAGCATACTTCCGTGCGTACACCAGACAAGCGCTTAAGGGGATTCCCCCAGGAGCGGGATAAGTAGAGAGAGAGAGAGAGAGAGAGAGAGGTAGAGCGCGTATGTAAGTTAAAGCACAGGAACACAATTTGTGGACAACGAATTCGTTGTGCATGTAGTTGGGACGTGCTTACATGGCAGGCAGAAAAGTGGCACGACACTGGTTAACGGTACTTTTATAATGCTCTTGCACTGCTGCGGTTGTAAATCATCAAAAAATCAACCCAAATTGCGAGTGAAAGGTAACCGACGAAACTTGAATCTTTGTTTTGACTGCTAGGGACAACAACAATTACAATAACATATTCATTGTGTACATATGCGTACTCTTGCATATAACGTAGGCGAAGAGCTTCTTTGCTTGACTAACCCGCCGAACCACTGTGTGAATAAACAAACGACTAACAGTGAAATCAAAAATGCAAAGAAATAAAAAGAAAACACTAAACTTAAAAAAAAAAGAATCGTTGAAATTAAAAAACGCCGCCAGCTAAGCTCTCGCGCAGCGGTTCAACGCAAAACGCAAAAGAGAGCCCGCAATTAGGATATGGACGGACAGTTGTTACTCAGTGCACCCACACCGGCTTTTGACTTCGGGGTCGCTGCCAGCGCAATAAAGGATGCCTTTTYACGCACATTTTTTAGAAAGTTTCGAATTAAATTGTGCTTGAGTGGCAGCAGCAGACGTAATGGCAAAAAACTCAACGTCGGTTTTGGGGACGGAAGTGACACTGAAAAATGTATATGCAAGTGCTCCTTGTTTCGCAAGTAACGGTACACATTCATGGCGGTGGATGACATTTCAATATTTAAAGCAACGTACTGCATTGTCAGCCTGTGCGGCGAGACGGCACTGGTGAAGTTCATACAACCACAGTGTCGATTTGTTGTCTTTCATTTGCTGCCTTTAATGCAACAACAATAAAAGTGTACACGTATAAATTAATTTTTTGACCAAAAATTCAATTTAATTTCCAGCAAAGTCAGAAATTTACTCTTGCCTCAAAGCGTTTGACTACAACTTTACCGTTATAGTTGGCTGGCCTGCTGCCTGTGCTGCCGCTGCCTTTGCTGTTTTAATATACCACATTGTAGTTTTTTTGTTGCATTTGTAAGTTGTCCTTTTATACTTTTTGCAGAAGGAAATTAAATTCTTTGAATATGGCGTTCGGTTGTGCGTAGACACACCGGAATTGCGTAAATTAAGCAAAGCTGGGGAAATAAAATTGAATTAACGTCAAAATGTGGCCGTAAATGTAAGAGTCGTGTTTAACGGCATGTTGCAGATGTGCCTAATTTTGTGTGTGTCAATAAAGAATGTTGGGGTTCAAGAGATGCATACTTGTGCTCCTACCTGGAAGCGAAAAATAAATCGAAAGAAAGTACAGAAATTGTAACAGCTGTTCGTTGAAAACAGTTTTTGAGGAGTTATTATGTGAAATTAAAGAAGCGAACTGGCTATGAGAGTGATAAATAAATTACTTTTTCACCACGACCAAAAGTCTGTTGTGGCCAATAGTGAGATAGTCGTTTTTAAAATAAAAAAGTACACAGAAAAAACTTCGGAGGGAATATATATAAATAACTTATTTAAATTAAATATTTTTTACCCTTTGTACTACAAGAAATTCAAAAGCGAAGAGAGTCTACTGGTTACAATGAGAAGATGGTGCGATAAGCGGTTAGGGTAGAAGAGAGCCTTCAAAAAAATTTGTGTTTCTTTTTTAACTTAAAGATCCTAAAAACATTTTTCGATAATTATTTATTTATATAATACGAAACAAAAAAATGTCCACTATCTAATCGGTTTTATTATCAAAGTATCGAGTCAGTTAGTTACGGCTCGTGAACCCCTTTTTCCTTGATACCTTCAAGTCTTATGGAGATTAGGATCCTATTTTTATTTAGTTTCAGATATCAAAAGTTTTCCAAATCACATCAATAGAGTTTGTTTTGAAAATAATGATTCTGAAAATTTGTCCATTTTGTATAAAAAATATCCATATATAGTTTTATYAGTAAGTTTTAGCTCGTAAAACTATTTTTTCTCGATACGTTCTTCACTAGCAAGTCATAAGTTGATTAGGATCCTGTTTTTTCAGTTTCAGATAGCACCAGCTTCCAAAGTTATGTCTATAGACTTCSTCTTGAAGACAGTGTTTCTGAAAAATGGCACATTTGCGGCCATTTTGTATAACAATGGCAATATATAGATACTTACGTTCGAATATATATTTATAAAGTCTAAAAGAGAGAAACTCGACTTCTTTTTCTTAATCCCAGAAAAATTTTGAATTTTTAGAGGATTGTAAACCGACCTTTCGGAAATTTAGGACCTTTGGATACATTAGATGCGAATTATATATGCATATAAATATACTATATGCATGCCGCGAAGGTTATATTTTCCATTTTTGTGTGTATGATCAAGTTTACTCTTAGAATATTTTAAGCAAAAAGTCAATTGAATAGCAKTTATGCGAAAGCACTGTAATTTCAGTGATGAGATTTGCGCAAGAAATATATCAAATATAATACCGATGGCTTGTGATCAACAAAATAAACCTATAAAAGTTTTTCGATTTAACCATACAAATTAACACTTTTCTAATGCATATAKCATATTTAAATAGATATTATATCACAACAACAAAATAATAAGAAATAATAGTTTGGGCGTTAGCTGTTGACCGCAAGTGGACTTACCCATTTTAAACGTTCTCTTGTTTTCTGTGCGTGCTGTCGGAAATTTTTTTCAGCGAATTTCAGTATATTTCAATATTTATGTGTGTATGTATTGCTGCTTTGCGAGAGCTCAAATCCGCTACCACAACACTGTTTTATTTCTTTCGCGCACACAAGTCCACAGTTAGGTGTGAGTATAAACAAACATACACATGCATGTATGTGAAACGCGTTAACACAAACACAAGCGCACATATGAGAATTAGGCTCTGTACGCTGGTATTTAAGCTCGGGTAAAGGTGTTAAAGCCACGAAAACTTCAATAAGCGCAGAGCGGCAGCAACGGTGCTACGACAAAAAGGTAAAACACACAAGTACAGTATTCGAATTTGTATACACGTATGTACATATATATATTGGTGTACTATGACAGGTTAGCTCAAACGCAAATCAAGCGAGAGCACGCCGTGTGCGCGCTATTCCACGCTTAGAGCAAAGTTATTTTGCTCAGTTCAGCTGACTGTTGWGCAGCGAATTGGTCAGTATGTGATGAGGTTGACTTAAGGCGCCCTCTATTTTTGGGCTGAGCGGCGCTGCCACGCGATGTGGACTTAAGTGTATGGCTTATAGATTGCTTTGTACATGTAAGCGCAACGCGCTGGAAGTGGTGAAGGCAAACGTGTCTTTCGCACAAATTCAACTCATTACTGGCGTTTTGGGTGCCGTTTTCGTTGGCTGTTGTTGCTATTTGTTATTTAAGTCGTTGTTTTGCTGTGCTTTATAGTGTTTGTATTTTATTTTTACTTTAGGAAAATATTGTCTTATTTTATTTTGTAACTGCACTATTATGGAATATTTTATTAAATATTCGCTTTACGCAATGCTTATTTGCACTACTTATTATTATTTCTTGTGTTTTTATTTTATTGTTRTACAACTTTAGCACACGTTTATTTGTTGTTGTGTTAATTCAGCAGCTTTTCACATATGTATACGCACATAAGAAAATGGCAGGCAGAGTTGGTGCAATAGTATGAAAACACTTGTTTGCTATGTTCCCATTTGTTGTTTGTTTTCGCTTTTACGCGTTAGCTTGGCAACGGGCTTATAAATATTTATGTTTTACATTTACTCCATAATCCAATGGAATGCAATGATATAAATTGCTTTTTATTTACAATATTCTTATTGCTGCAGTATTTGTGCACAATAGTATTTGTATGAGTAAATTTAAAAATTTTTTACGCAATGAAGAGTCATTAACTTTGAGTTCACTAACAATCTCTCTTTATGTTTTTTATATATCTTAACTTTTATTATTTTACTCAAATTCACACTTAGCCTTAAGTTTCACTATTTCACTAATGTTTCTTGTGATTTACATATATTCACTTTATTTCCAAACGGTGTCATTAATTCATTTCACATCTGGAATTAGAGCTAATTTGCAAAKGTTGCACAAACACACTAAAACAGCGTCTTGTATTTACAACTTTGACGTTCTCTAACAGCACCAACTAACCACCAATTGTTCAATAATGCTTTGTGCTTTACTTAAGAAYAAATTTATTTTATAACTTCCAACCACCGCACTACAAAACACACCAATAATTACTTGAACGCGCAAAACGTTTAACGTGCGGTCTCCGTCATCTTAAACTGTCACAACGTTAGCTTCCTCTCTCGAATGTCGAAAAGTCACTGACTTTTCTGGCATAGAATGTCATTTGCCGCTTCAAAAAACTACCACTATCAACAAGCGTTGCACACAGACTGTCGCATGCGCTGGCAACACAAAACTCMATAGCAGCAACCAACAGGCAAAATAACTGGCCAGCAGCAGCAAGTTGCGTTTTCCTGAAGCAGCAGCAATGGTAGTTACTATGTAACGAAATCACTTTACATTCACTTGATATGAAATACTCGAAAAAACCGGTTTCATTGCGCACTTGCAACACGAACATGTTTGATAACAGTTGGTTTCTAGACCAGAGAACTTAAAACATGTTAGMCAACGACTATGAAAAGCAAGAAAAAAAAAACATAAAGTAATTTATAAAATTCTCGGTCACGATTTTACCACAAAAGTGTCAAATCGCTGTKCTGAGTTCAATTTATAATAATTGTCTTATTTGTAAACTGTTAAAACGCTTATTCTACTTGAATTCTGATAACACTTATTCGGRATTTCSTTTTGTTTTGCATCTSCAYCWAATTTTATAAATGCAGTAGCACTTAAATTTCTACGCAGTTTGATAGCTGGCAATAATGATGAGATTTTGTGGAGATTGAAGCTTAATATTGTACGCAAAATGTGAAAATTATTAACTTATAGTAATAATTGTATATTAATATTTATTTTTTTACCTTTTAAAAATTTTAAAGCACTAAAAATTGTAAAGAAAGGCATAGAATAGACATTGGTTTCAAAACTGCGATAAATCATGCACATGTCAGCATACAGGCCAYATCTTTATGAAGGAAGAAGAAAACAGCTTTTATTAACTATAAAAATAAATGTGCAATAACGATTTCAGCATAAATATATAATAAAATAATTATTTTAATATTTTATAAGTACTTACCGCATTTTATTTTACATCGTTTCGCATTTTCTGCAATAAATTGATTCACTTCCCTACTGTAAGCTCTTTCCCTACTTCTAACATTTTATTTACATTAACATAACACAATTAACGTTAACATAACATTTTATGCACAAYCACACACGTCTGCTTGCACCGACGCTCAGCGCTTAGCTTTTGCACTCACTAATTTTAAATTTCACTTTTACTACACAAATAACAACTCCCGATTACTTTTTTCACTTTAAAACGATTAAATTTACACGCTTCAACCTAATTCTACTAAAAACTACCTACATGCAGCTTTAATTCCTAAACTAAATTCACTTTTTACGAGAGCTGCTGCATATACCACTTACACGAACGCGATATAAGGAAATGTATGTTTGAAATGGCGGCGGAAATTAACCAATGATATTGTAGCTTCTAAAGTGAAGTGGCCTTCGTAGACTCTGTGGGAGATCGCGTGCAACTAAAAACAACAGGGTTCACAAATATTTTTGAAATACAGATATATTGCAGAGATATGTTTATTCAAATTATATGCCAGAACTGGGAATTTTATAAAAATAACACCTTTTTAATTCGTTTTTTTTTTAGCTCATTTTTTTTAACAGAATTTATGATATTCTTCTGTCTAATGGCTACAAACATTGGTGGATATTATGATCATGAATGTGACCAACAGATGGCGCACATATCAACCTTTGAAATTATTTAATTCACAGATGTTATTATATTTGTTTATTAAGAGCTTCTAGCTCCATTATCTAAATAAAAAGCCAAGCGTAGGAAAATCACTTGAAATTCTATTTATTTTACATATCTATATTTTTAGACCCTTCTTTGAAAACTTATACTACCCTGTACTAGTTACTGAAGTGTTTTAGTGTCTTCGGATGTCGCTTTCTTTTTGACAGCTCGAATATAATTGGTCGTTCTTAATTTCCGCCGCCATTTCAAACATACATTTCCTAGATTATCGCTTGCGTCGGTGGAATTTGCTGCAGCTCGGTGAAAAGTGTAATTATTTTAAGTATTAAAGTTGCAATTTATTGTGTTTTTTAGTAAAATTTAGTCAGTAGTTAGGGTAGTTCGGGATTTTAATCGTTTAACAGTAAAAAGTGTGATCGGGCTTTATTACTTATTTATTATATGTATGTATCTATAGTGATTCGTGGCAGTAGGAGCAAACGACAGATTGCCGGAATATGTACAAAAAACGTGTTTAGATGTAAGTAGAGACWTCAATATGGSAAGCAGAGTGCGCTTTAGAGCATTAAGTAAGGTAAGTTTTGTTAAAATAGATGTCGTAGGTATTCTTAAGCACGAATATTATCAGTTGCCGCCTCCCATTTCCACCATCAATGTGGCGTCCGAATAAGTGGAAATTTCATTAGCAGAGTACGCTGTTTATTCCCTCATAATTGTAGCTAAGAGCGCCGGCACATTTTCAAAGCTGTGCAGTCGCATTATTGCTGTTACTATCACTGTTGATTAACATTTTCTGTTAGACTATTGTGCTTAACCAGAGAATATAAAACACAGTGTTATGTAAATACTACTTACTATATGAATGCAGTTAATAAACACATTACACACAAACAAACATAAGATATTATATTTGAAAATGATAAATATTTCTTTATTTATATTCATAAGTTTTGTTAAGTATTTATGAATCAGCAATACATTGCATGTTAAAATTTAAATTAATATTCATTAATATTTTGTATGTATGTATAAGTGGCTTTGATGCCATTAAAAACAAAAGSTACTGTAAAATTTTTTATTTTACTAGTTTATGCTTTTTTACATGTTTTCAATAAGTTCAGCACAAAAACTCTAATAACGTAATATTATATAAATTAAAACAAAAACAAAATACGAACTCGCACAAGTATGCAGCATATTAAAATTACACATCTGTCAAAGCAGATAAGATAAGGAAAACGAGCACATACATATGCAATAAAAAGCTAATTAAAAACGGAATGGATTGCAGCTATTTCACAATATATGTATGTATATAATACAGCAAACTTATTTGATGTTGCATTCTCATTATTCTTTTCTTTAAATTATCCATTTGCATAACCCAGCCTACATACTACAACTTTGTAGTTTCAAGCGCTTATCTGCCACTCCAGTAGCAAACTCGCCCATTTTCAAAAGCCAAATTTATGCGTGGATATGGCAAGACTTTGCCAATCTTTAATTGCTCGATATTCGGCTCCTCCTCAAAATACATACACTGCTTAACGAACTTCAAAAAGGTCTTATTCATTTGCTCCGCTCTACCCGGCAGCATCTGCAGATTATCATCTCGATGCAGTTTGCGTACAATTTGCTCACAGATACGTGTATTGCAATCGACATCGAAGAGTGGCACACCAAAATTCACATCCAATATAGTCCATGCCTCTGAGGTTGTATCATCGCTTGAATTATCAACACTTTCCAAGATCGCACCTTTATTGTTGTTCAATGCCGTAGCGATGATAGGTATTTCCACCGAACTCTGAGATACCAATTCGTTTTTGGTATGCGTTGCCGCTGAATCAGCATCACATTTGGCTAACTCTGATGCCAATAATTCGTTGCAGTCGAACGAAGTGTAGACATTGGATGGTGAACCATTTTGTGGACTAATCGCAAAATAATTCTCATCTGGACTCTTAAGTTGGCTGCCGCTGAGCGGTGAAGTATTCAGACGCGCAAAACTGGTCACTTCAGAGCCATCTGCTGGTGATAGTAGATCCTGTGGCTGTGTTACTGTTAAAACGGTTATTGGTGCAGTTGTACTAGCAAGGGCATTTGACACTGTTGCAATACTCTTTGGCGCATTCACTGTCTTAGTTTTGCTTTTGGGGTGCTTAAGATGTACTTGCAAATCAAATGACTCGCATCCAATATCTGGTACGCCCGTATTAAGGAATGTAATAAAACCGCAATTGTGTTCCAGATCTAAATATTTCGTTAGTTGTTGTACAGCTTTATGATTGATCCATTCTAATTGGCGTGGATCTTCTGCATTGAAGGGAAAGGCTTCATAGCGCAATTCACCAGGTTGTCGTATGCCATAACCTTGCACGAGAATGCAACCATTTTTCAACTGATCGTTTAGATTGCGAAAATTCTCAGAGTTCAAAACATATGAATCGGAATGTAGTATATTTACAAGCAATTTTCCGTAACCAAGAAATATGCGTGGAAGTGTTTTAAGTACAGTGCCGCGAGATAGGAAAAGACTTGGAGGACCATAGCCTAAAGGTAACGGTAAAGGATAGTAAAACAAATGTTCTATGTTTATAGACCAATTAAATTAAATACCTATCTCAAATTGAAAGTACCTGTTATATGATTATAAAATAGCTTTGTCCACATATGAGAGCTATCAGAACCTCTGTAGTATTGCCCAAAAAATGGAATACTGAAGATATGTGAGAGTGTAGCAGTTAACGGAGTGGCAGATATGACAAATTTATATTTCTTTTCGAGTACACGATCGCGTGTTTTCTGATCCAAGCACTCCAAACATTCCAGCCGTAATAAATCCAGGCCACCGGGCACCAGATGTCGCAACGAGCATATGGTCGATCTCAAAATTACTGCATGCGCAAAATACCTAGAAACATCACCTTCACCTTCGGCATCTAAGAGCGAAACTTTTTCTAGCTCTGCTAAAAATGAGTCGATACTTTCCTCACATAGTTTGCCCACCTCAAACATAGTGACGGCATGATTTTTTAAACCCGGCGATAGATTGCCCATCATTAAAAATGCCGTTAGTGTGGAATCAAAGAGAAATCCAACACGTTTACCTGTTTTTTCTGACACACTCGGTAAATTGCCTTCACCTTTAGGTGTTGTTGGCAGTTCTTTAATACTTAGTTTTGTGGTACTCTCACTTAAATCATCCAATTCAGAGCTGAGTTCTTGCTCCTCAGAATGGTTATAAACGTCACTATCAGTTTGCATTGCTTGCGGGGATGGTGACGGCATATTAGCAAAACTGAAATCACTCGTATTTCCATCAGATGAAAGATACCCAATGGAGCTGTTGTCCTTATCTGATGCCTTTACTAAAACTGGGCTGTATTGTGCAGCTTCAGCGCGTTCTGCCGTTGCCTCTGATGTAATAAAGTTATTATAATTGAGTGGAGTTATTTGTGGTGGTTCAC